CTGAATCCTTTATTCTCTATTGATAATTCCAAGTCTAGTCTCACTCCTCCATGGCCAGCTTCTGTATCTAAAGTGATTTCTTGCTTAGACTCTTCTATAGCTTGTGGTCTGGACAACACATCTGTTTTAGTCTTGCAGAAGTGTTCTCCGGAGCTGTTGTCTATACTTTCAAAACTATTCAACAAGTGCCTAACAGAGTCTTCTTTTCCAGCCAGCTGGAAAGCGGCATCTGCTATCCCTATTTTTTAAAATTCTGCAGAGCTATCTGACTGGTCTAACTATCGTCCCATTAGTCTTCTTCCTATAATAAGCAAGGTTTTGGAACCTTTAATTAACAAACACCTAAAAAATCTGAAACATCCTAAACCTTTCTGAAAAATCCTACATATGTATAAGCGAGACTCCATTTGAATTAAGATCAAACTAAACCATTTAATATCCCTAAATACAAAAATGATATTGAGCTCTCAAAGCATGTATGGAAGTTAAGAGATGCTAATTTACCTTCTATAGTTAAGTGGAAAATTCTCTAGCAATGTAAAGCATATAATCCAACATACAAATCTTGTAAATTATGTCTCACCAAAAAATATGAAATTATAAATTATAAAAATACTAATCTATTGAATAAAAGGAGTGAGATTGTTTCTAAGTGGAGACATTTATTCATGGAGAATAGATTCCTTCTTTCCCAATTTGACACTGGCGATTAAAAAAAATGTTTTTCCATATTATTATTATTTTATGTTATTATTATCATTATTACTATTATTATTGTTATTATTATTTGACATCAGAGCTCATTCCATTGTTTTTTTTTAATTTTGTAATGGTTTTTTAATTACATTTTTAAACAGGTTTTTCTTGATTCAAATATATGACTAATGAGTGCCACAAATGGCATGAAACTTTAAGTACCGTAAAAAAGTTGTTTTTTTTATCTAACCTCTTATTTATCTATATATATATATACCTTTCTAATTGCTGATACCCAAACAACTTTAATCTTCTCTGACATACGCTGTTTGATGTTTTTTCTCTGTCTAAGATCATGACTTCTTAACTTGTCTTAATAGAGTCATACCACACATTCATCTGATCATCATCTTCTTTTTTGACAAATATAAATATTAAAGTTTATATAATAGCCTTTTCCCTAACCTATTGGAACCAAGCAGTATGGAAGTTTTTATTTCTTTTTTAGTTCCAAGTCAAGCTATAATCTACTCCATAGTTTTTACCTTTTTGCGCAACTGCTTTATCTAATTGTAATTTTCATCTTTTTTGTAAGAACAACTCTTTTGAGATCAAACATCTTTTTATTTTTGCCTGTCTGATGTCCTGTCTGATGTTAAGTTACACCATTCTCAGTTTACTTAATCTTGTATCTTATACCATATGTTAGGTTCTAGAGACTTTTTGAAAATCTTCAACAGTGTAATTAAATAAAGTAAGTCTAACATTCCATCCTTAATTCATAGTTCTGATCTTATCACCTTTCCCAAGAATAACTCATTGCAAAGAAATTGTCCTCTAATTCCACTATTGATTCTAATGACCATACTCTTTATGTAAATTCCAGTTAAACAGGTCAAACCATTGATAGACATAAACATTGATAGGCAAATCTGTTGCTAAAGTCAAATCTTAATCTTAGAAAATTTTTCAGACATTTCTATCACAGTCTAACAAAAGTTATTTTGTTTCTCAATAAACTTACAATAAGTGCTAAAAAAGTCCAATTTTTAAAAACTTTAGAAAATACTCTGACTTTTCCAACTATCCTACAATTACTTCTGTCTTAACATAAAGTCTTCACTTTTGGATCACTTAGGAAAAGCAATCATTCTTTAATCTGATCTCTCTGCTATAACAGCTTGGGGCTTGCAGTGGCTTGAGGATTTTAGCTACAACAAAACTCAGTTGCTGCAAACAACTATTGCAATATTATTGACCTATTTTATTATTCTAATACTACATTGTTAACATTGACATTTTTATCTCAGACAAGGTCTGGAAGCTTATTTTATATGTAGTTTGTTTTATCTGCCCAGCTTGAGCTCTGCCACCATCCCATTGATGTTAAGTTGCATCTTTTTTTTTTTTTTCATATTCGCAGCTAAAACCAACAATAATCTCTAGTTCAATCAACCAAAACTTGCTTGGATTATCATCAGCAAAGTTGCATCTGTTTACTGTATGTGTCCCTTCATACAATATAATTATTTATTCATTTAGTTTTTTTCTTTGCACATCAACAAAACCTCAAAATTCTCACTTATCTTTATGTTTTTCTGACTCAAACAAACTACAACAATGTAAATATATATATATATATATATATATATATATATATATACATATATATATATATATATATATATATATATATATATATGTGTGTGTATATATATATATATATATATATATATATATATATACAACAAAAATATATATGTATATATATTTGTATATATATAAACACAAAAAATATATGTATATATATTTGTATATATATAAACACAAAAAATATATATGTATATATATTTGTGTGTACATATATATATATATATATATATATATATATATATATATATATATATATATATATATATATATATATATATATATATATATATATATATATATTTACAAACAATATATATATGTATATATATATATATATAAATACATGTATATATATATACTTTAGTGTGTGTATTTATATATATATATATATATATATATATATATATATATATATATATATATATATATATATATATATATATATATATATATATATATATATATATATATATATATTATATATATATTGTTTCTGACAGCTGATAAATATAGTTATTTGATATGCAAATATCAGTTTAATTGAAGTATAGGTTTATCAGTAAAAGTAGTAATTGTTTTTATTTTGTTTAAGTGGTATTTAATATAGATGCCATGAATGTTTTGTATTTTCTTACTGTTTTGTACTATTTTTACTATTTGGTATTCAACCAAATATTACAAACTATTCAGCCTAATAACAAATGTCGGATGCCATAACAAAAAATGCATTAAAAGAGATTACACTTAATTATGTTTTTACATATGTTACTTTAACAAATAATTAGCATATTTGATACTAAAAATCTTTAGGTGGTAAGTTATCGTTTATGTAACATTTATTCAGAAAATATAAAGTCATAAAAAAAATATTTAACTGAGAATTTTTTTGTTAAAGAAACTGATTATTAAATATATATTTTTAATTTAAAGACAAAAAAAAAATTTTGATTTTGAGTTGGAAATTTAAAAATTTAAATTGAAAGATTTTGAAAATTAAAAGTTTTAATTTAATTTTGAAGGAATGTAAAATAGTTGGTAAAACGTAAAATGTAAAATTTAGTTTCAAAGAAATACAAAATAGTTTTCCAATATTTATTAAAGAAATGTTTTCTTCTCATCATCTGCAAACTAATTTATTACATAAAACTCTCTTTATTGTAGATTAAAACGTGTAAAATGTGCCAGAACTAGTGCCTTGTAGATTTCGAGCCACAAAAAAGACCACTGACATAATGTTGTTTAAAGCAAGAGCCACTTGTAAATGTCATCATTCCTACCACTTATCAAAACATTGTAAGAAAGAAGTTGCCTAAATCTGTGGTATGCTATAATTGTCAAAGGGTAAATTACATGGCAAAAATAGTCCATTACATTTGATATTTCAAATGTAATGGACTAGAAAAGGTGGCAAAATATTGTACCAACCAACAGGGAAATGATATATATGGAGACAATCCCAGCCTTTCTGCAAATAAGGTAACATAATATTCAGTTCAGTATAAAAGCAAATTACATGATTGAATAAAACAAGGGTAGCTACTGAAACATGAACATACAATAGGACAACTGATGGCAGTGGTTTAACAAATTAAAAACAAACTTTGGCTGGTGCTAAACTGGAGGGAAGTTAACAAAATCATTGAGGCATTTACAAGACATTCAGAAGTCTATGCAGACCTATAATCAATGACCTGCAGAAACTACAGAAACCAATCTCCAGATAGAAGAGGTTGGATGATGAGTTGTGGTTGTATCAAATGGTTCAGAACAAATGGTTTAGCTGTTACTTGCTCTTAAACAATGTGATAAATGTCTTTTAAGTGATGCATTTTTAAACACTTGCTCTTATGAATTGTAATTTTCATTGATTTTGAAACACAATTATTGGTTTAGTTAAAAACTCTGCAAAAAAAAATTCAATTTTTTTTTGTTTTGTTTATTAACTAAATGAAAGTCATTATTGGTACGTTATAGGTAAATAGGGATATGCGAAGTGGAGTGAACATACATCATTTAATGGTTTAGGTTAGATCAGGCATTCGTTTAATTAAAAGAAAATTATTTCAACATTTATTTAAATAGGGCTTATAAATTAATTTAATTTATATTTAAAAAATAAAATAGTCAAAAAAATTAGTAATATTTTATGTTGCATGTGAGTACAAATAATGCCTACCTAACTAAATATAGTGTTGCATATTATATAAACAATCCCTTTACTGTTTTAATTATTTGATAATAAAAATACAAAATAATATTTTTTAGCATGCATTTCCAAAAAACTATTTGGATATCAAGAGAAAATAAAATTTTAAAGAAATATGCTGAAAAAGATAATTCCTGGATCTGTCAATTAAATGATGTATTTCTTCTGTGAAAAATCTACAATTTTAAAAATACCCATTTTTATCAAAATTTCGCTAATTTTTATCGAAATTTTGTAAACTTTAATCAAAAACTTTGAGCTAGTAAGCTTTGTGTATGTATAATAACAAGAACATCTTTCATTCAAATATAATTAACAAAAAACTGTTTTCACTTACTAAAATAAAAATCAAATTAATAAAAATTAATTTAAATCAAAACAATTGATTTAAAGTGAATACTTAAAGCAATAGAAAAATAAAGTTTAAAAACATAAAAATATTAACCTTCAACAAATTATATCGACTTTCATCACAGAAATTTCTGACACTGATTTCTGTACTCATATACCTAAAAAAAAAAAAACACTTATCTACATATACATATATATAAAATAGATATACATACATCTAAATTCATTCTGGGAAAAGGAATTAGACAAAACTGGGAGTAACTTTTCACAATTAAATCTTTTTCTGCTAAATGTATTAATAAAATGTTTATTTTTAATTTGGTTTTATTAATGAAAAAATAACTTAAACTAAACTTTTTTTTTTTAAATTGTCGTTTAAGGCTAATTAAAAAAGTTAATGTAATCTTAAAAAAAAAATATTTTGAAAAAAAAATCACTGCTATATTTTTATAAAATAAATTTTTTTAAAATATTGATAATAATAAAAATTTGTAGAAAGAAATTTTGTTTTATTTTTATTTACAAGATTTTAAAACTAAAAGAACACTTTTTATTTGAACTAAATTAAAAATCAAGAATAAAAAAAAAAACTAAAAAACATAGAATATTTGACACATTCAAGAAAGAAAAATAACATGCAAGCAAAATTTAAAAGTTAAATAATGTTGTTAAAAATTATAAATGTTAAAAAATATTTCTCAATTTAAACGGTATAATTTAAATATCTACATAATTTTTTTATCTTAATAAATATAAATTAATTTAAATAATAAAACAACATTCTATATAACTTTACAAAACTGAATGAAAAATAAAAATAGCAAAACTGACTCTTACCACCCATTAAAAGGAATGGCTGTAAACGTCAACCCACCACAGCTTAAAGCCATATTACTTATAACTGGTACAGCATACCATCGTAAACCCAATCGGTCTAATTGGGGATATCTAAATCAAAATATGATTTTTATGCATTAATTCATTAATATAATATTAACACTGAATTATCATTACAAAAAAGTCAAACCACATTAAGCTTAAATAAAGAAAAAAAATTAAGACCTTATATTAAACCTTTTTTGGTTAAATGACTAATTAATTAAACTAAATTCATTTTATAAATAAAATAGACCTACATAAACAAAGAAAAATAAACTTTGTATATTTTAATGTTTACTTCCTTTATTATATTGAAGATAACAAAGGTTTTATAAAAACATATTTTACTGATTGATACTTCATACATTTTACGATTTTGATGACTCTTTTTTAAATACAAAAAATCTGCACTTTAGTGTTAAGGTTTTAAAGTTTTTTAACTACAAGTTTTTATGACTTTTTTGCATCTTATTAACTATTTCTTAACATTTTCTTTTTTAAATGTGCTTTCTATTTATAGAATACACTAACATTTATATATATATATATATATATATATATATATATATATATATATAATATATATATATATATATATATATATTATATATATATATAGATATATATATATCATGTATATATATATATATATATATATATATATATATATATATATATATATATATATATATATATATATATATATATATATATATATATATACGTATTAGTGCTTACATATATCTTCGCAAGAGTGCTCAATAAATTAAAGTAAATTAAAATGATTTAAATTAAAACAGAGCTGTATTTACAGATTTTGTACAGATTTATACAGATTTATACTTTTGTATAGATTTATTATTTTTACGAGAAAAAAAAACATATTTACACCTGATAATTGCATTTAGCATGAAACTAATAGTTGTGAAAAATATGCAGTTTTATTTATAAATAATATATGTAAATACAGCTCTGTTTTAATTTAAATCATTTTAATTTATTTTAATTCATCGAGCAC